TGTTCTCACATTCTCACGTTATCACGTTAAGCATTATTCTTATTTGATCTTTATTCTATATATATATATATATCGTGAAGGAAGTCAAATAAATTATTTAAGAACACTATGAAGTTAATATATATAAACAACGCAGTATTATTCACAAAATCATTTGACTGCCTTCTCGATTGAATATTTAGCTGAACTTTGGTTTGAGTAAAATAGACTTGATGAAGAACATTCCAAAAAAGTCATCTAAAAATTCCACCATGAAGGCCCCCCAAACGGTCTCAGCTGGACGTAGGTTCCCGTCAGGCCGGTTGGACATGGAGATTTGTCTATATATGAGTCCTATTTCTGTCCAACCAGCCTGACGGGAACTGCCGTTCAGCCGAGGGCATTTCGGATCTTCCCGGTGTATTTTTTGATGAAATGTTTTGGGCATATTCTTCATCAAGTCTAGTTTATCCATACCAAATTTCAGGTAAAAATTCAATCAGGAAGACTATCAAATAAATTATTTAAGAATATTGCGTAATTAGTATACATAAACAGCACAGTATTTTTTAAAAAAATATTATACACGTCTGCTTGCTTATCTAACTTTTAAATACCACTTTTAGGGTGAGGATATAATTGCTCTATATATAATTTTAGAGAGACCAAACTTCGGTTTAATAGAGAGAGCTAGGACTGGGACCGGTTCGGTTCTTACTCAAAAATAGTGAAACCGTTATTTAAATTTTAACAAATGACATCGGTTCGGTTCCTATATAAAAAATCAAGAACCGATATGGAACCGAACCAATACTAAACGGTTCGGTACTTGCTTTTATCGGTTCCTAGAATAATTTTTTCGTATAAGAATTAACACATAGTTCAGCTTCTACCACATGAAAACGTCAAAAAGTCAAAACAAGTCATAAACATTTATTTAGAGTTCTAATCACTCCAAACATCAAAGCTCGGACTTAAGTGAACACTTAATAGAATAAAAAGAAGATTTTAATTTTCATTTAATACATAAAATATAAAAATCGTTCGTTATGTCGTTGAAATGAAGGTTGCTCATCATTATAGTGACAAGGATAGGACGTACACTTTATGCCTCTCAAAACCTAGAAATACATTGAGTTTGCATGTACATCCTATTGATGGAACAAAACTTGATTTGTAAAAATGAGCTTAATGTATTCAACCTCATGTGCAAATATTTATTATTTTTGTTTTTATAGATTAAACTAAATTAAAATTATTGGCTAAATATCATTCATTTATTATTATTGTTGTTGTGTTTATTTTTGTTATATTAGTATTACTACTAATACTACTACTATATTTTTATTTTTATTTTTATATTTTTAATATCGGTTCCTTAACGGTTCCGTGCATATATTTTTTATAGGAACCAGGAACCGAACCGTTAACAAAAACTAGGAACCGAACCGTTAACAACTAGTATCTCATTTGTAGGAACCGAACCGAACCGGGTTATAACGGTTCGGTTCCAACCGTTATATGCAAAATCCCGGTTCCAAAACCCCACCCCTAGAGAGAGCTCAAACTTCGGTCAAACTATATCAAGATCATGTTAATTGATACACGGGAGTAAAAATTACTCCCTCCGGGACTAAATAAACTTCACACTTTCCATTTTAGATAGGTCCAAAATAAACTTCACACTTCTTTTCTCTTCCTTATTTGGCAAATTATCTACATCAAAACAGTGCAAAACAGTGTCACAACAGTGTACTCTACAGTAAAGTCAAATTTATTTCCTTAATTTGTGTGAAGTCAAAGTGTGAAGTTTATTTAGCACCAGAGGGAGTAACTTTTACTTTCACGGGAAGTAATTCAATCGCGGTAGAATAAAAAACAAAAACACCCAATGATGCAAGTAAAAATGCCATTTTATCTCGTTTCTCCCTTGCTAAACATATACGGAGTATGACCTAACTGTCCTTATCAAGGCTTCAATGTAAAATCATTGACAGGTTATCTCTTCATCTTCTAACCCGTGACTTCAAAAGAAACATGATCAAGTGAAACACAAACTTGTAAATAAGAACCAATCCTGCGTAACAAAAATGTCTAGCAAAAAAGCTCAGTAATTAAAAGCATCACAGGAACTCAAAAAACTAACCAACAGTGTCAATACTCTACTTAGCAATTGCAGAGCCAAATAATCAATCATAGTTTTAAACTAATGCTGAAACTAAACATCAAGCAAACTTAGAACACAGAGGATGTACTAAGCAACAGAAATCTAAAGCATAACCCCAAATGGTGTTTGTTCGTGAAAAAAGCATCCTACAAGAAGTTACACGAAGCCGCATACAACAACACCTCTCAGTTAACAAATAGAGAAAAATTCATCCATCAATAATAAATTCAAAGTTGAATTGATTAAATAGATATTTATAAAATATACTCCATAATAATTATCTTTTAATACAAACCCTGGAATTATATTGGTAAACTCAGAATTTAGAACAAATTCAAAAGCACGGGTAGATCAAAACCTAAAAACATGCTTTAATGATAGGAACCCACTTATTAGACATTTAGACTAGTAATAGTAGTAATAATAATAATAGTAGTAGTAATGAAGGTCTGGGAGTGCTCTAGTATAAATAGATGAGAAGGGGGAGTTAGTATTCAGGCTGTTATGACGGAAGTTGTCAGGACTGGGAAGTTAGAGAGTTATTCTCTTTCTTTTGGGGGCTTCGGCCTTGGTTGCTTGATTATCTCAATAAATTTGTTGGTTATTTCCTCATAATTCTCTGTTATTTTTTCTGTGATCTGGTTGTGTTCTATCAGTGGTATCAGAGCACGTAGATCCCTGGATGAGATTTACGCGCGCTACGATGGAAGGAAGATTAAATGATCTGGAGAGGAATCATGTATACTGCATTGTTAATTGAACATAAAAACTATGAAGCGGTATCACGGAGAAACAAGGATGAAGGAAAAAAAATAGGGAGGAATCAGTTAACTGAAGGACAAAGTTACAATAAATGGGGGGATGGCAGTAAAAGAAGCTACAGCATACACTCTACAAATACCGTTGAGAAGAATTCCACTGACAGTAAGAAGCAGGAGGGGGGTTCCAGTTCGGTATCTAAGAAGTTTGGCCCCAGACTAACTCAGAATGAACTGTTGGACAGAAGTAAAAAGGGGCTGTGTTTCAAGTGTGGAGATAAATGGAGTAGAGGCCACACCTGCAAGATGAAAAATTTTAAAATGATGTTTGAACATTCTGAAGGTGAAGATGAGACTGACACTGCCTCTAGTGATACTGAAGAAGGAGAAGGGGTTCATAAGGAACCCAAAACTATGCAGTTATCTTTACTCAGTAAAGAAGGATTGCCTTCCATGAGAACCTTCAAGGTGAAAGGAAGTTTAAAATGGCCAGATCATGACAAACAGGTGACTATTTTGATTGACAGTGGTGCTACCCACAACTTCATATCCCAGCAACTTGTAGATCAATGGAAAATACCTTTCCAATGTATCAAGGGGTATAAAGTACAAATAGGGAATGGAGATTTGATTTCTAATGGTGGCAGATGTGATGGGATGAAAGTGAATGTGCAAGGGAATGAAATTCAACAAAATTTTTATGTACTGGAGTTAGGAGGAACTGACATGGTGTTGGGGATGGAGTGGTTAACTGAATTGGGTGATGTGGAAATTAATTTCCAAAATCAGACTATGAAACGGAAGAAACAAGGGCTGAATCAGACTATTCAGGGGGATGCAAGTCTAAATAACATGGAAGTGTCTCTTAAGACTATGACTCACATTTTACAACAAACAAGAGATGGATATTTGATGTATTCTGTAAGTCAAGGTGCTGGAGAGCAGAAACTGGCACCTGAAGGGAAGTGGAATGAAGTGATGGAAGAATATCCGGAGGTTTTCAAAGCAAGCTTGGACATGCCACCAGTCAGACCTTGTGATCATACTATAAATATCAAGGAAGGGGCTAGCATACCAAACCTCAGACCTTACAGGACAATTCTACACAGCAAGATGCAGGAATTATTGGAATGGAGAGGAATTCCAAGGGTGAAAGAAGTAAAGACGAAGGGTCAAGTAATGAAGCTGATGGGTGCATTATGCAAAGGAAGAAAACCTGGTCTTAAAGATGACAGCAAGAAGTGCAGTATAATAGAACTCATGCTACTATGCCTTCAGGATTGGGGGATACAATTGGAGACTGTTAAATCCTTAAATTCAAAAAGAGAAACACAGTATGACTCAAGTTCTCTTGAACTTCCTTCTGAAATGTGCGTGGATGAAGAATTGTATGAGATATTCAGTGTGAAATTTCACTCAAGAAATAGGATGAAGTCAGAGGCACATGTTATACTCAGGCTGGACAAAAGTTCTTCATCTAGAGGACTAAAAGTATGGGAACATCTGATACCGCAACCAGCGAAGTACTGGGAGGGGAGAGGCACCAGGAGGAAGCTGAATTCCAAGCTAGGTTCCTATCTCCCCACTTTGAGGACAAAGTGGTTGTTTAGGGAGGGAGTATTGATAGGAACCCACTTATTAGACTAGTAATAGTAGTAATAATAATAATAGTAGTAATGAAGGTCTGGGAGTACTCTAGTATAAATAGATGAGAAGGGGGAGTTAGTATTCAGGCTGTTATGACGGAAGTTGTCAGGACTGAGAAGTTAGAGAATTATTGTCTCTTTCTTTTGGGGGCTTCAGCCTTGGTTGCTTGATCATCTCAATAAATTTGTTGGTTATTTCCTCATAATTCTCTGTTATTTTTTCTGTGATCTGGTTGTGTTCTGTCATTTAAAAGGAGAGAAATAGGTTGAAATGTTGAATAAGATGCGAACATGTGCATTTGAAATTGCCATCTTCAAAGTTTGGAGAAGAAAGCCTTGAAGGGTACGTGAGAACCTGAATTTTACTTGTTCCATAGATCCTCGTAAGGAGTTCTTCAGGAGTTTTAATGTCTCTCACTTAACAAAAAAAATAAAAAATACATGCAAATAATCAATTCAAAATTTAGAATTCGTAAAATAAGTATCTATAAAAATACGGAGTATATAGATTTTTATAGGATCAATAAACCGAGCAAATGGTGGGAAATATCAACATAGCAAATGATGACTCATTAAGTGAATTGAGAATCTGTAAATTAGAACCAATACTTTTTTTTACTCCGTAGAATAATTCTTTACCCATTGCAACAAAAGATAACAGTATGGAGTTTATAGCTTAGAACTTCAAAAGACAACAGCGTCGAGCATGGTTCCCAGCGTCTGAACAATATTCGAAGACATCAAGTTCGAGACGTGCTCTTCTAGATGCTTCTTGGCGTCTTGCCTTCCTACATTTGCAATGGCCAACTTCTCAGGTGGTAATTCATCCTCTTCCTGGACTGCCTTATTATATTTGATTGCTAGGTTTAGCATTTCCTGGACTGTTTCCTCATTGGTTTTGGAGTGGGCATCAAATCGCTGGAGGGTCAACCCATCTGTCCATTTCTTCTTGTGAAGATTCAGAAGCATCTTTTCTTCAAGTTCATTCTTTCTATAATTGATTGCTATGGAGTAATAGTGCCGGTTAAGACCATGGATCAAGGCTTGGATAGAGGGTTTGTTTAGGTGTCCTAAGTTAGATGTTGTTTGACGTGGCTCTTGGCCAAGCATCATTGTTTGGGGGTTTATTAAACGAAAAGCATCAATCACCACCTTCCCTTTCACACTCTGAATTGGATCCACCACCACAGCAACTGCTCTTTGATTCAATGCTTCAAAACTCTGCTGAGTATTAATGTCCACACCCGAAAGCCAACAACCAAAACCAGGATGTGAATGATACCATCCGACAACCATCTCTGGCCTGCCAGTTTGCTTGAGCATATCAAGCATATTGGTCTGGAAGACATGATCAACTGCTTCGACACTCACTCCAGTCCCACTCTGTGGCATAGCAAACACATCGACCACCCGGACAGTGTACTCATCCACAAATTCCCCCAACATTAATCCCATCACTTCCATAGGAACGCCAGCTCTCCCGTGTTTGAGCATCTTAAGAAGAGCGAGAGAAGAAATGTAGACTTGCTCCGACGAATCGATAGTAGGAGAATCCGGCGGCGGGTGACCTAACGCACCACCAGCTCCAGCAAACATGCGCTGCAACCTTTCCATTCCTGACATGATTTTAGGTTTTAGTTTCCCGCAGATGCTTCGATTTCTTCGGAAACAAGTTCCTCAATATCCAATCAAATTAGAACCAATGCTATATAAGAAAAATGACTCGCAAAAACTCAATATTTAAAATCATTAGAGACAAAAAACGAACACATGAAACCTAACTTCACAAAATCCTCGACTATGGCTCTCTAATATGTGTATAAGGTACGCTTTAGCTTCAATCATCCCATATTTATATCATCTGTTGTCTCCATCGATGGATGAAAAACTCAAAAAAGAAAAACTTAAGCATGCTGCATTTTGTAATATAAAAGCTCAAAAAAGGTTCAATGTCTTATTATGTGTAAACTAACTTTATAAAAGAAACTTATTCAGAAAGAAGTATACAACCTAAGTACGAAGTAAAAGTCTTTATAACATCGCTTACCAAAATTATGTACTGTCAGTTTCCCATCTGGAGTTCGTATCAAATTCCCAATATGAGGATCAGAATGGAAAACACATGTCCAAGGAGTTGTAGATATAAAATGAAAAGCAATCAACTGTCTATTATCGAGCAGGGAAAGTTCCAACGGAAGTTAATGACTTTAATATATCTGAAGAGTTTAAATAATATAACCCTTAAAAGTTAATTATCTTCTTAAGATATTACATATATTACACTAACGATTACCAAATCCCCCATTATGATTCTGAGAGTATACACTTTTGATTTTTCAAATGTGTAATTCAAAAGAACCTTTCAAGGACTAATAATTGAGTTAGCTTATTTCCTTCCTTTAATCATGCTTTGATATTCCATCCCGGACTGAAGAAAAAAATAAGAACAATGGTGTACGTTAAACTGGAGATTCCATGTTTCCCAAAAATTCAAAATTGATAAAACCAATTTGGGGCATAACACACTAAATTGGCTAAGCCTGGTGGAAGAAGTGTAAATGGCCGAGATCAGAGTGTAGTCCATGTTTCCCAGAAATTCAAAATTGGCCAAACCAATTTGGGACATAACACACTAAATTGGCTAAGCCTAGGAGAAGAAGTGTAAACGGCATAAGACAACGTTTAGCCAATCGCAACATACGAAATCACCAGAAAAGAAAGAAGGTCGACATTTGAAAATCATTGGGAAGACGAAGATGAAATCCCACAGTTAGAAGAAAGAGAAGAACTCAGATTACCTGAGGAGGAATCGATCGAGAAGTGTAGCAAAAGCAAGAGAGTTCAACTATGTGTTTGATTACTTTGATGTGCGGCTCTGTCTTCCAACGATCCCCTGCACAAGTCTATTAATAGCCCTAGCTAAATTAAAACTTCAAAAAAACTAATGTAGTGCCTTATCCGTCATTTTTTTTCTAAACACGTAACTTTTGTTTTAGCGCACTGAATTGTGTAATAATAAGAAAAATAAGGTTGAACCACTTTTCTGGTTCTATTGGATGAAGTTACTATAAATGACCATTTTAACTATTTTTACATATGTAGTATAATTTTTCTTTATATTATTCATAAAATATATTTTAAAAATAATTTTTTCTTAAATACGCAGAACCAACCAATGCAATCACTTCAGTCAGAACTTCATAAATTTCAGCAAAATCAATTGATTTAGTTGATTTTCGTGTTACCAAACGGACTCCTAAATTATTCAGTTGGCATATTATACAATGGGAAGCGTATATGGTACAGCCGGCTGTACGGTGCCAGCCGTACAACCGGTGACAAACTTGTAATTTTGGTAAAGAACACAAATTCTCTTTAAATGAGCATTAAATCAATTTTGATGAGCACCGAGTCTCTTCCTTTGAGTATTAGGAGCCTAACGATGAGGATCAGTGATATCTGCTTCATTCCTCATATATCACATTCTTTTTATTATTTTTTCGTTTATTCAAAAGTTTTATTGCAAAATGAGTATACATAACTTACAAATTAGTATCTAGTGGCATATTTTATAATTTACATGTCACTTTATTGTTCACAAATAATGGGGTCGTCTTATTCGTTAGTTGTCCAACCTGAACCAAGTGAATTGAAAATTATGGGTTTGATGTTTTTAACTTGACTAAAAATGTAATAAGGTCACACAAAAAAAAGTTTGATTTGATCTAATGATTCTGATCAATATTGGTCTGATAAATGTAAGGTCTCTCTATATATAATAATTGTTCCAGTCTGATTTGATCTGGTGTGATATGATGTGATCTGAATTGACCTGGATTAAAAATAGTCCAAAGGGGTGTATTGAATATGGATCGTGGTGGACTTTTTCTAATTCACGGACTTTTAAAAAGTCAATGGACTTTTAAATCTATAGACTTTTTTATGAATGAATTCTATGGGCTTTTAAATCAATGGATAGGTTTATTGACTTTCAAAAAGTCCATAGACTTTTAAATTCAGATCGCCACCTCTGGTCATCGAAATTTTCACCTAGATCGTCGCTATCGATCTGCTTGTTCGCCTCCGTCACCGGAGTTCCCCGCTGTCGTTATCGGACTCATCCGCCACCAACAAAATTGATTAGGTTATGCAAGGGAACTAGGATGCTGGACACGAACTGCCAAAACCATTCCTGCACTGGTCCTCGAAGGGTGCCGACGAATTGAACAACCTGCAGATGGTGTCATCGGACGCCCCTAGCATGGTAAGCCCACCCTGGAAAGTGAGCAGGTGAGATTTCGAGTCCCCAACCCCATTATAGACCAGCGTCCCTAGGGCAGTAGGGCCTGCAGTCCCGGAGGATCTCCAATTCTCCACAACCATGATTCTTACTGAGAATGGGGAGGTGAGCGCGATCCTGGTCTGCGCCGGATTATTCTCCGTGCGGCGGTTCAGCTCGTCAATCTGCTTTTGCATGCCAACAAGCATTTCGTCCCGCGTGTCGGTGGCTGGGGCCACGAGGTTAATGACTGCTAGAGCATTCTCCGTGCAGACAATATTCACATCGGGATGCCTTTGGATGAAGGGGGTGCCATGCCCCTCCACATACTGGAACCGTGGTCCTACGTTGCTTACCACGGGAGTTGGCTCCCTAGACCGGTAACTGTTGTGCGGTATCACCAGGGTGCGGTTTCGGGCCGCATATTGTTGCCCTCCTCTGGGGCCTGGTCCCTCCTTGGCCTCCCATGTCTGGGGAGTGGGGTGGGGTGGGGGGTGCCGATCCGAGTGTGGACCGATGTGAGAGACTCCACAGTCTCGCCTGTTCGTTCCCCGAACGATTGCATGGAGCGAATGGGGGAAAAGGGTGTACACTCAGTTTCCGTCGAATACGGGGTTCGTTCTGCGTCCTGCTCGTCCACCATGCGTCGCATGGTTTCCGCCAGTTCCCTCATGATGCAAGGGTCCCTTCTGGCTTCCAGGGGGATCAGGTCAGTGACATCCCCATCATCTCCGCGGCTCCACAAGCTATGGATTGAGTGCGAGTCCTCTTAGTGCTCGCCAGTTGTTCGGAAAGGTAATGAGTACGCCCGAAGTTGTTTCTTGTCATCTTGGTTGCTTAGAAAGGTTCTTAGGGAGCTATTTTTGGTGAACTAGTTTTTGGAAAGACTTTTTGAGCAGTTTTCCACAGTCAACACCAATGTTGAGGTTTATTCCTTCAATCCAAAGGCCCACACACGAGTCCAATGGATTTCGAGTGGAGAGTTTAATGGATGTATGATGCAAGCAAGTAAAATGGGTAAAAAACAAGAGTAGTAAGTGAGTCGTATTTTATTAAATGATAGTAAGGTTCCTTATACAACACACTTCAACTACAAGCCGAGAGGTCGTTCATCTATCTCAGTAAGAAGAGATAGAGATAACTGCTATTGATGGAGGGAATAAGTTGACAACCCTTTACAATGAAATAAATGCTACTGTTTATACTACCAAGGGGTGGATGATGTTGATGATGTGGAGGATTATGGGTGACTAGCTTCCTAACCACTAAATCTACTGCATTAAATGTGCTTTCCGCCAATATCTTGGTTTCCCGCCAAGGGCACCGGACCACCGGCCCTTGATCTTAGACCCTTGACTCTGGTGAATGCAAGGGCCTGGATCCGTACGGTTTCTGCGAGTCACCTGACTGAAGGCCCTGGAATGCGCTTGGCCCTTGTTGGACCAAAGGCCACTGTGGCCGTGCGTCTTGATGGGTCTGATGATCATCTGATGGGCATCTGGATGGATCATGCTCAGATTGGGCCCTGATGATCTATCCACAATCGGGCCTATTAACCCAACATAAATTTATTCTGATTCTTTTAATAGTACAAATAGATTTTTTATAAGATGACTATGCAATTGTTTTACATGATATCTATATAAGATTATATATGTATATTACTTTGTTCTTAATAAAAAAATATTATTTCTACACCTCTCCAAATTATCAAGCAATAACTACTATTCACAACTTTTGTATATTTTTCTTCAAATTTTAACAATATTTTAGTGTTTTTAAATATTAAAAACCTATTATTACAGGTCAAAACCTGTTTTAGTGTTTTGGTCTAGTCCTCCTATCTTTTTGTATCTTCTCTTATCTTAATAATATCTCGGTAAATATCTCCCGACATTTACCCCACTGATTTTGATGGTTGACCTTCCGGCATAAAAAAAAACAGGCCAAAAACTGATTTAGTGGTTAAATTGATCAATTTTGTGAAGTATGTGTACTTATATATGATACTTTTTTTTAGTACAAATGCTTAAGTGACGGATTGGAAATAGTATGACTTATTTTTACCCTTCTTCCTAATCAAAAAGATGAATTTGATTATCAATATTTTTGAATAAGTATTAGTAAAAAATTTCAAAATAAATTTTAATTTTAAAGTTTGTAGAGGCAAATTAGAATATATTTTTTATAATTCATTTTATTATTACTGCCCAAGAAAACAATTTACTTCATTTTTCTTTTAGGGGAAAAAAGTGTGACTTAACAAAAGTATAAAGGACAGAGAGATTCTATCTTTTGGACCAAATGAAAGAGTAATGAAGTGTAGCCTTAGCTATTTTCTACTCCCTCCGTCCCTTATAACTTTGCCAACTTTCCTTTTTCGGTTGTCCCAAAAACTTTGCCACTTTCCCTTTTAATCAATCAATTTGCGGCTCCAGTTATTTCTCTCTCCTCTTCACAAATCTCTACCGCACAGTTTTTACTTTATTATTCTACGTGCCGGTCAAACTTGGCAATCCTTTTAGGGACGGAGGGAGTACAATTCAAGTCATAGTCAAGAAGTGAACTAGGTCAATCATTATCGTTTCTAACGAGAAAAAGTGAAACTCAAGTCCATTCTAACGGTTATAGGGTAGCTCCGAATGTCATTTCACATAATGATTTTACTTCGTGCATCCCAAAAACAACTTCTCACTTTCTTTAAATGGATGTCCCAAAATAAATCATACTTCTACCCACTTCCTTATTTGACAAATTATCAACATCAAAACAGTGTCAAACAGTCCTAAACAGTGTCCAAACAGTAAAATTTTGGGAAAGTCGAACCAAAATTTTAACATAGGAGTAATTACCTTTTTGGAAAGTTTTGTGTGACTACCATTCATTTACCTTTTTTTTATTCAACCACAACCATAAGTTTTCACTTTATTCCCACTTTTTTAATAAATGTGTCAAGTCAAACCAGAAAGTATTTTTTGGGACCGAGAGAGTATGCTATTATGCTACTCACTCATTTATCATACAATACCATTATTCATTTCACTATAAAATGCTCATTTTGAATTATAGCAATGTTCATTTCATCATTTGGATGTTCCATGTGCATACTGCATAGTAGAATAAAAACCAGATGTATAATATACCTATCCTACAACTAAAGGGGTGTTTGAAACGGATTCTACTTGTGCTTCTTTTTTAAAGCAGAAGCAGAATCAGAATCAGTTTTCGAAAGCTGGTCTCCGCCGATTTTAAAAAAAACTGCTTCTAGGAGTAAATTAGAGCACCGGAAGTACTTCTGCACTTTCACACAAACACTCCAACTTCTGCTTCTGCTCATTGAAGGAGTAAAAACAATTTCAAGAATCAAATATAAACACTCCTAAATACATCTCATGGGACATAAAAACATATACAATTGGAATTCTGCACGGATTTAAATTTTAATCTTGGCCCTAACCGGCAAAGGAAGGATTTAAATGATAAATCAACCTATATGATGACCAGCTCAACCAAGAATGTTATAGGCAGACCCTTGCAGAAATTGAACACTGTAATTTAGGTCATCGAATTCACTGTCCTGCTGACTTGGCTACCCTTGCGGGACAATTTATATATGAAGTGTCTGCTACTGCTTCTCCTCTACATTCAGTTGGAGATTCCAACTAGGTGCCAGAGTTTCCAAAGCATCAATCCATTGAAAATTCTTCCAGCCATATCAGCACCTCATTTCTCTTTAATCAAGACAGAAATTGAAACAGGTTTCACAGCTCAAGGCAACTTATACCCGAGGTGAAAAACGCAATTTTGTAAAAGATTATTTATTTATTTATTTATTTTAACACATAAATAGAATGGGCAAGTCTATTCCAATGTTCAAGAGATATCTAATACGATAGTATTATGTCTTATACTTTATCCTAAGAAGTCAACCTAACCATAGGAGTAATTTTGAAGTCATTATTATGGTCATTGATAACTCATAATCAGATCGAGTTGCTTGTTTGAAAACAATGAGCTTTTATACAATATCAAGACTAGAAGTTCCATCTTAAAAATAGGAGCAGCCAAGACTTTGAAAATATGCTATTTCCTTTAATGGAAATAGCGCTAATGCTTTGTTTTGTTTGAGGGTAATAGAAAAAAATAAAGGAAGAATGTGGGAGGGGCATGCATTTTACTTTCTTCCCTTTTGAGAAAAGAAATTGAGGAAAATAACACTTATTATCGTTTTAATAATTTGATTTATACCTGTTCTCCTCTAACCTCTTAATAAAGGTTATTGTGGGTAATTTTGCAATTTTTTCCATTAATAAAACCTTTCTTTTCTATGTCTCTCATGTCAGGCAATGAAACAATGCTATTTTCACAGATTTCTTTCTTTCCATTCCACTCTTTTTTCTTTCATTCTCTATTTGATATTGATACAAATAATGCATAAGTTAGTTGCCTTGCTCAGAGGAGTAACTAGGCTACTGTTAGTATGTCCTATAACCATGCATATTACATCCTGAGAATTAATAGTGAGCATCATGTTATCCTACCGTTTATTTGTGACGTATCTATCTGCATTAATCGCTAAAGCAAGTATTAGGGGTACTATGATAGCGCACATCTAGATTAACCAATCTAGATTGAAGAAATGAAAAGAAGAAAAACTATAAAGAAATTGCCTAAATAGGAGTAAAAATGTTTGAGAATTCCAAAGTAGGAGTACTATGTTTTTATTCCCTAAATAGGTATAATTACAGTCAAGTTTGGAAAATACTATATCGTCACTTACGGTAGTAAACTGACATCTTTAAAGCCTGGTTGTAAAAAAGATGTCATTTTCTCAAAACTTTAAGTGGGAGTGTAATTTGAAATGTCAAATAACAAGTATGTGTGGAATTAATACCATTATGTGTTCCCAAGTTCGATCAGGATCATTGTAGCGAGCTAGCAAGCACCCAGGTTTAGGTTTGAGACCATCCCTGATAAGTCTACTCCTCAGACTTTCCTCCTTCTCTTTAACAATGTTCTCTGTTGGTTTCCCACTGAAAATCGACACGGCTGCAACCCCCCCTTCAACTTCCCTCAATTTTATTCCTTCATTTGGAGTTGGTAAACTGTTCAGAATTTTAAAATAAACAATGAAATTAAAAAGAGTAAAAAGAAAAAAGAAAAAGATAATACTATATTTGTCCCAAATTGGATGTCTTGTTTTGGTTTGACACGATTATTAGTAAAGTGATTGAAAAGTAAAGTGAAATGATATGGACCACACATTTCTTGCCAAAAAAAGGAATCAGGACATCATTTTGGGACAACCCAAAAAGGAAAGTAAGACAATCAAAATGGGACGGAAGGAGTAACATAAAAAATACATAAAAAATATAAGTAGTACAACCTCTGTCCCACCAAGTTTGATACATGGGGAGGTGGTGCGATAATTACGAAAAGTTAGTATATTGTGATTAATATTGACTTGATAGAGTAAAAATAAAGTAAGACAATTTAGAACTACACAAACATTAACAGATTTTAGAACACTAATAGTTTCCCTCCCGAACCAGAAGGACAAACAAACAAAACATATTAAGATCAAACCCTGATCATGATTTGGGGTTTCATCTTAAGAGTGGAAAAGAACAGTAGCTTAGGATCTTAAATTATAATTTTATGTTTAACCAATGTGAGATAAACACCTCAACAAACTCAAATGTTATGTATATGTGTGTGTATAGCATACCATTATAAGTTGATAACCATGCATGTTTCACCAACCAATCTCACCTTTTAATGGATTTAGATGATGGAAGAACAATCTGGATTGAGATTTTTGATTTTTCATCAGACAATGCCTGTGTAAACACAGGAGTTGTCATCGCCATTTTCTCTGATGCGGAGTTCTTCCCAAAGATATAGCTAGTATTCACCATGCCATAAAGATTGATGACTAACTCCAAACAATGAAACAGAGCAGGCTATGAATTGTATTTAGAAATTCTCACCCAGCCACATCATTGAATCCCTTTGATCCTGATAACGAGTCACCACCCGTTTCTACAACAAGAAAAGGATAATACTTTCTGACCTACATAGCACAATCATCTCTGTCAAGTAAATGGTACAAGCCTAAAAACCGTTAACTATTTTTATTTGGGGGAGGGGGTCAGAAATATCAATAGAGGGTGTAGAAAACCCACCTGGTAGCTCGAAGTTCTTTTTAGGAAGTGATAAGAAGGTGTTTCTAAGTCCGGAGTCTTGTAATACCTCAACTGCTCAATGTGTAAACACTTCTTCACATTACAAAAGATGAAGAACACTAAACACAGAAATTTTTATTGTTGTGAAACTTGAAAGGCGAGCTCTTTACCTGCTTCACTACATCCATCAAACCTTCTATTGAAAAAAAATCATTGTTCACGATTGAATCCCAGTAGTCCTACAACATCAATATCCAGTGAAAACAGCTATATCCAGCATGACAAGATTTTTTTTGAAGCATGACAAAGCTAGTGGTTTTTGGTGGGAATGTGGGGTCATGGGAGCGGTCACCCCACCTGCATTTATTTATGGTCAATATACTATATATAAGTGTTTTTATGTACACTTTAAAAGTTTAAGCTTCACTTTCCCAGAACTTGAGAGAAAAAATCTTCTCTAGTGATCCAAGTTCCTGAAGACCGAGTCTGTTACATAGTTACATCTCGTAAGTTATGTCATTGATTATCTGTCGGAAGATTTACATCATCACCTAGTTACAGTTTCAGAAATACTTCTGGTGAGATCGATGTACATCGAGTAGGCGTCTTATCAATACTTACGGTTCAATGATATCAACCCCTCGCTGATATGTAAGGACCTAAGCAGATGCAGATACACCCCTAAAAATCTTAGGAGACTCATCTGTCATTTGGATCCGTCCAAAGCTAGACTTGGTTTCTATGCCACATCAGTCTTCTGTATTGTTCAGTGGTTCGTGACTTCTCTCTTTCATAAACATTTGATTGGGTCTGACGGCCTATTTTACAGCTATGATTTGCCTACTAGTCTTGCTTGGACAGCTTGGTAGTGGAGTGACTATCACATCTAATATTCTTCTTCTTGGTAATACATACCATGTCGTAGGTATGTATTAAAACAGCTAAAGTTTGTCTTAGCGGTTGCAAAGGACAGACTTAGATTGGTGAAAAAACCTCATTCACGAACAGTTGGTCCACTGTAGTATCGATAAGGCCTGTAGCATGTTGGGTCTTCGTAGGGGATGATAATCGAGTAATTGTATTTCTTAAGGATCGTGTAAATTAACTTTCCGAATCAATATTTCTCCCCTATGTCTGGGTTACGAAAAATTCAATCTAGGATAATCCTTAAGGACACTCAAGAACTTAGACACAAGATATATAGAGCAGAAACTAGTGAGTATATGTATTGTTTTCTCAATTTAAATGCCAAAGTGATGAAGATATGTTATATATCTTGTATCTTTGTTCTTTGTACGAAATATGGTGATATATATCCATATTAACCGTCCCAAGCAGTTACAACCCGTTTGGGAATAACCGTGGCAGTTTATGGAAAACTGTACGAAACTGCCTCAACCGCTCTAGACATCGGTCCAGAGCCACAGAGATGGTCTACCGAGAGTTCTACCTCGAGTTCCACTTCCGTAAATATTTTGGGATAAAACTTGTTCTTATATACAAGTGTACACTCCACACCTACTAACTTGTATTAGAACATAGTTTTAACCGTTACTGGCACTCATGTCATTTCCAATTACACAAAACGGCCGGTCATCGTGTATTGCTTCCTCTTCTGGTGAACCCGACAGGGAAAGGCATCAGTTATTGAGCTCTATTATTATGTTTTATATTTAGAACTATTAATATGTGTGACACTTCTGTTAGAGTCAAATATTATATGTGATGTTTTCATCCCTACAGAAAACCAACACTTTCAGAGTAATCTAAAATAGGCTAAGTGGTCTGGTCTGTGAGGAGGGAGGGGGAGGGGAAAAGTAAGATTCTTACAACATGGCTGATGAACTTCTTTGTTTCTGGGTTGACAGTCATCACAGAAGTGCCTGTAAAGATCAACTCAGGCTGCCATGGAAGAGGAAGGAACCTCATCACCATACTCCACCGTGTGGTTATCTCAGAAGCCCCTGTCTACACCAAATCGATCGATCCCAAATTATGGTTCATAAGAATTGCAAAATATGTTTGGGGAACAGTTCTGACTTCTGAGTTCTGAGGTTAACAATCACAATGAAGGAAGCGAACCTGTTTGACCCAATACAAAGAAAATTTAGGCCTAAACAATAATTTTAAAGCAGCAATGTTAAGGAGATAGCCATCAATGTTGTCGTGCCGTGTGATGGGGTCTCTGAACTTGACGGCAGCATCATACGCCGTCCGATCAATCCCTTTGTCATCGAAGAGGTGGGGAAGATCCTTGTACAAGAAATCTACCAGCTCCTCCATGCCGTTGTTGTTGGCGGCGGCCGTGTCTTGTTTGGGGCTTGGCTGACTAACTTCTCGGTCCACCATGCTTAGCCGAAGGGCTCCTTTGAATCTGTGGAGGAATCTGAGGTACTTTATGGGTCTGGGAGGAGATAGGAAGATAGTTGGGGCGATGGATAGTTCGAATTTCCGGTGAGGGATTGGCCGGTAAATGTGGCCGGAAATAATTGAGGCGGCCATTTGTCCGCTACTCGTTGTTTAATGAGCTAACTGCAAACTGCAAACCATGTTGGTCAATATACTTCTATAAATGCAATCGAAGCACAAAATCAAGCTAAAGTTAGCAGTGTTATGGCTGATATCTAGGGTTCGAATTCCGTTAATACGACAAGAGGTTATCCCCTAAAAAATGCATCCGACTCTGTAAGTATCGGGGACAGAATTTCACTCTCTATCTGTTAGAGTGTCATGCGTTTTTTAAGCACAAAATCAAGCTAAAGTTATACTCCCTTCCTCATGTTTAGCACAATTATTAGAACTAAAAGTTGTGAATGATATTAGAGTATAATATGTCATTTATTTTGAGACATGCTAAAAAGAAAAGTACAACAAGTAAAATAAGACTAAGAGAGTGATAAACTCAAATCGAGAAGCAAACTATTCAACCATAAGGCAGTATTGATTTTTTAATTCATACATATGACATTGCATTGTATGTCCATAGTACGGATATGGATTCATGCATAAAATGATAAAAGTTATACATATCGAGCTCGTTTGGTAACTCTGAAATCGGCTGTTTTTATTGATATTTATGAAGTTCTAGTTGAAGTGATTGTATTGACTGATTCTGATGATTTATGAAAAATTATACTACCTCCATTCCTATTATAACTTCCAAATAGGTTTGACACACAATTTAAGATAGTGAGTATTGTGTGGTGGAGAGTTGTGCAGAGGAGAGAGAAATGTGTAAGAATTGTTGTTAACCACAAATTCTTTACTAAAAAGGGAAAGTGGAAGTTTTAATTGGAACGGGCGAAAAAGGAAAGTTGGAGGTTATAATAGGAACGGAGAGAGTATATAAGATATACTCCATCTGTCTCATAAAATAATTCCCGCATTGACTTGGATCAGAGTTTAAGAAAGTGAGAATAAAGTGGAAATGTATGGTTGTGATTGTGTAGAAACATGTAAATGAATGTGAGCCACACAAAACTTTCCAAAAGAGGAAATGAGAACTGTTTTTCGGGACGGCCTAAAAAGGAAATCGGGAACTATTTTGTGGGACGAAGGGAATATTTTATTAATAAAATAAAGAAAAAATTATACTCCCTCCGTCCCGAAAAGGTTTGCCAAATTTCCTTTTTTGGATGTCCCAAAAAGATTTGCCATTTCCATTTAAAGTAAGGAATATGTGGCTAAAGTTAATTCTCTCCCCTCTGCACAAATTTCAACCACACAGTTTTTACTTTATTAATCCACGTGAAAGTCAAAGTTGGCGAACCTTTTCGGGACGGAGGGAGTATTAAAAAATAGTTAAAATGATCATCTACAGTAACTTCAGCCAAAATAGTAACTTCAACCTTACTTTTTCTTATTATTACACAATTCAGTACGAGAAATCAAAAGTTACATGTTTGGTGAAAAAGTTGGCTGATAAGCCTGATAAACCAGAAAACAGGCTCACCAAACGGGCTCATCATCTCCTACGAATATAGCAGATGTCCAAATATTATTTAACATGTAGACTATGTTCAAAAAGTGTTATGCAATCATATTTAAGTCATTTAAATTAGAGAAAAGTACGGAAAATGTACTTGTGGTTGGACCCGTTTTCAGATAGGATCATGTGTTTCATTCTTTATCAAAGTAGTTCATGTGTTTGAATTCCGTTATCACAAGAGGGTCACGATGTTAAAAACGTCTAAACAAGACCGTTAAAAGTAACTCCGATTTTCAAAAGTGTCAGAAAAATTAAAAGAAAAATATTGAAAGGTGTGCCTCGTCAAGATGACATCCAAACCACCTTCGCCTTTGGATTTTTTCAGATCTGTTTGAATTATTTTTTTAAAATGATTTCTCTAATAACACTTTTCAGATGGACTTTCCGGTGACAATGGTGGCTGAAAACAAAAAACAAAGATGGCCTAGCGGTCTTCTTATTGAGGCGCACCTTCCAGTATTTTTCTTTTAATTTTTCGGGCACTTTTGAAAATTGGAATTACTTTTAACGGTCTTTTTCTGACGTTTTTAACGGCGTGACCCTCTTGTGATAACGGAATTCAAACACATGAACCACTTTGATAAAGAATGAAACATATGGCCCTATCTGAAAACAAGCTCAATCACAAGTATCTTTTTTGTACTTTTCCTTTTAAATTAAATTAGCAAATCTCTGGTTTAAAGAAATCATAGTTGGAGAAGAGGACCTTGACGTCTAACAATTAGGCGGAGAATTAAAAAATAATGTTTTTTGTTTAATAAATTGTTGGTAATTACAGATATTGTTTAAACGTATAACGAATCAAGCTATTTATTTAGACATGTCATTTTTGTAGAATTGATAAAACTCTAATACAAGTCAACCTCGAATCAAAGCTCTGCATTTTTCAACTCAAACTCGAATTTGGTCTTTCTTTATCAAGCACGACTCGATATAAGCCTACACGAGACAATACTGATGAATTATTTTAGGGTATGTTACTATGAAAGATCTACAACTTAAATATTGTGTTTAAGAAAGCTTCTAATAAAAGTTATATGGATCTTAGTCCATTAAGATATAAATAAATAATAGCGGATGATAAGCAAACTCGTAAAACATTCACATACGTCCTATTTTACTTGTTTTTATGTATTATTCAAATAATACATAACCCAATTACTAATAATTAATATTCTCTCACTTAATAATAGAATAAACAATTTTCATAGTGTTCGGTGACTTGGAATTGCAAATTACCTTTTGTTTAAAATAATTGAGGGACAAAATGTGTCAATGTTGTATTAGGAAATAAGACAAATGATCTCCACGGGCCGTCCGCGTGGGAATCGCTGTCTGGCTAAGGTCATTTGAATTTCTTCCTGATGGAATTTTTTGATGAAACTTTACGAACATGTTCTTCATCTAGAGTATATTATCTCCGCAAAATTTCAATTCCAAATTTTATCAAATAGTCAGTTAAATAAATTATTGAATCATGTTGTGCTTTATGTACATATAAAGCGCAATATGTTTCAATAATTATTGAACTAACTTTCCAATAGAATTTTAATCTAAAATTTTGTGGGCATAAACTTTACTTCATTAAAAAACTTACTCATAAAACTTCATCAAAAAATTCTACTTGTATAAATAAAATGTTTTACCGCATAACTTTAGATGATGTGGGAACAACTTTTTCGTTTAAATTAACATAATTCAATACGGAGTAATTCATACTTCGTATATCACAATTTGAATATTGAAATTGTGTGGATTGCACTTTTAATCGAACTTGTATATAGAAAAAAACTTCAAATATTTGAACAAATAGACCAAAGGTAGATATTCAAAACTACTACCAACACTTCATCACATTGCAATATTCTAATACATGATACATTTCAAAACAAATTCTAACCCCTTTAAAACACAAATGCTAACACACACGTATTAGACAATATCAATTTCCGAAACCTTAATGTGTTTCTGTATAAGTATCCTTACACTTTTTTATATTCACAGTTGTACTTATTTTATGTTTATGATCATATGTATATTTATGCTTAGTAAATGCTAATATGGAAACTGGCAGTTAAGAACAACATTCAAACCTTAGTCACACAAATCCCACAAGAGTTTGTGTTAGGCAAACATTAATTGGTATTACCTCTGTTCCGTTTGAAGGTTCCCTTTGCAAAACAACACGATTATTTAAACAATAATTAAATAAAGTAATTCGAATATATTTTGGAAATTAATTTTAATAGGTATATAATATAATAGGATTAATGGTGATAACCGTGATGTTATAGATTTAATATTTTTAATATTTAATGATCAAATTGATATTTAAGAGTGTTAATAATGGTTTCTGAAAATATTTAATAATTTAATGACTAAACTGTCCTTTCATGTGCACAAAGAGACTTGAACATAGCACTTCACAAGGCTATATACTCCCTCCGTCCCCAAAACAACTTCTCAGTTTGACTAGCACACACATTTAGGTAGATTAAAATTTTGGTTTGACATTCCCAAAATTTTACTGTTTTGACACTGTTTGGATACTGTTTAGCACTGTTTGACACTGTTTTGATGTTGATAATTTGTCAAATAAGGAAGTGGGAAGAAGTGTGAAGTTAATTTTGGGACATCCATTTAAGGAAAGTGGGAAGTTGTTTTTGGGACGGAGGGAGTAGTTCTTTAGGGAGTATATAATAGTTGCAAAAAGCTGTTTGAACTCACAGTTCCTACAAGCCCCTATTAGTGTTTGTAGGTTCGATTCAGCTTTGCCGGTAGGGATGGACCCGGGCCGGTCCGGTTCCGGTTCCGGGCCGGGCCCGGGTGGGCTTTTTTTGCAAATTCATGGGCCCGGAACCGTCCCGGGTTGATACCGGGTCCGGGCCTAACCGGGCCGGGCCGAGCCGGGCCCGGTTCGATGTCTATTTTTTTTTTTGCTTTCTTGTTATCCCCCTCACCCCCACCCCCCAAACCTCCCCAAAACACCCAGCCCTAGCCTAGGAAAAGAAAAAAATTTGAAAAAAAAAGACCCGAGCCCGGCCCGAACCGCCCGGACCGGTTGGCCCAAAACTGGGCCCGAGCCCAGCCCGCCCGACCCGCCCAAACGGGCTAAAAGCCCGGAACCGGCCAACCGGTCCCGGTCCGGTCCGGGCCCAAACAGTACAGGGCCGATTCGGTTCCGGGCCGGTTCGGCCCAGTCCATCCCTATTTGCCGGTTTGGTTTTAAATGGTGCAAAACTGAAAAATGAATCCATTAACTTAGGTAGGTTTTGATGGGGATGAGTACAATTTATAAGGAGTAAAACATAACCTTAAACCGAAACCCATCCGCATATGGGTTGGTTGGCTTTGCTGGCTTTGGGTATTTCAGTTTCGAGTCGGTTTGTCAGTGGACTGCAAATTATTGGTATTTTTTTTACCTTAATCGATGGTGCATTAACAATACACATGCACAGCAACGCAAGGGGAGAGAGTTACAAAGTAAAGATTATTGGTAAGTATCTCTGCCACTCAAGAAAGAAATATCACTGCTTTAAAACTGATTAAGGATCTGTTTACTTAGGACTTAATGAGCCGAATCGAAAGAATGACTTATGCGCAGGGGCGGAACTACACTAGAGCTTGGGTGTGCTTGTGCTCCTGCGGCTCTGCAGATTTCTTTTTATTATATATATAGAGAGAAATTTTCAGGTCCAGCACATTTCTGTCCGAACGCCGTCCGAACACCGCTGTTTGGGACGGTTCCCGGTGGAATTTTTTGATGAAATTTATTAAGCATGTTCCTCATCAAGTCTAGTTTATCCATACTAAATTTCAGCTTAAAATTCGATCGGGAAGGCAGTAAAATAATTTTTTGAAGTTAACTGCGTTTTTCTATGTATAATTTGGCGCAGTTAACTTCAACAAATTGTTTGACTGCCTTCGCGATCGAATTTTAAGCTGAAATTTGGTGTGGATAAACTAGACTTGATGAGGAACATGCTCAAATTATTTCATGAAAAAATTCCACCTGGAACGTCCCCAAACAGCGGTGTTCGGACGACGTTCGGACCAGAGGCTGCTGGACAGGAGAATGACTCTACATATATATTATACATGGTGGTCGACAATCAACTTTTGAATGTAAAAATAATTTAGAACCACAATCAAATTTGATATTGATCAATGTTAATGAGGCAGGCTGAAAAGAAAATGTAAGAAAATCTTAACAAAACAAATGGAGTAATATATTTATGAGCTCGACTACTAACGTTGAAGCTTGGAGGGTTGATTACATTGAGAGAGTTTCTTTGGAATTCACCGTAATTAAACCGAAATAAGTGAATAACGTTGACGACCACTAGGTCTAGCGACTGATCGAGAGCATGGGCGGAGCTAGGGGTGGGCCAACCTAGGTCATGGCCCACCTCAAATTTTAAAAATGGCTTAATTTTTAAGGTAAAAAATTTTGTGTAAACGTTTTTCAAAAAATATTCTTTGTACCGGACTAGCCCGGCCTAGTGCTCTGCCTCCGCCCCTGATCGAGAGCATTATTGTTTTGAGGTGACTGGCGTAGCGGCTTTGCTATTGTGTATTTTGGGCTATAGCCATGTACTGAGCTTGTTATTTTTTGTGGTTGTGGATAGTCAGGCTGAAGTTTGACAAAGAATTCATATGAATCGATTTTGTACATAGATTTCTAAAGGTAATGTGCCCCTCCAAGATCACGAAGCTGGTTCCGACACTGCTTATGCGCTCAGCTATATACGCTTGTTTACTTAGAACTTATAGTAAAATATGACTTATTCACTCAAACCATTTTTGGCTTAATCGTTCAGCCCAATTTGAACACTCCTTACGCTTCAGACATAAAATGCAACAACTATCTCTTTTCTAACCCTCGCTACTTCATCGCTAATATCTCCTACCGGTGAAGTGAAGACCTTGCAGCCTATCAACCCATCAGTATGCAACACCCTAGGTATTTCATCTCTAGATCTCATCCCTCATCTTCTTCATATTGGACTATTGGTATTTTATCTCCAACTTTCATCCCTCCGCTTCTCCATACATATTTCATATTTTCTCTTTATGTTGCTTTCTATTTCCCCTAATAAGAGTTTATCCTTGTACTCTATCATAGTTTTCACTACTTTTTTTTTGGGAAAATAGTTTTCACTACCTATGCACTGCAATTTCAAATTTTTAGGTAAAATCATTACAATTTTATATTTAGGTCACTCTTTTGTAATTTAAATGACATATGCCGTATGGTTATACTTCATGCTTGAGTTCAATAGTTTCATATTAGATTGTTTGTAATTTAAGCTGCATAAGATTTCTTTTTCTTTTTCAAGTTTTGTATTTATTTATTTTGTTGCATTGTGGTAGTAGTTTTATGTGATTTTTTAATCTCATGAGTTCTTTGCTTTAAATAATGAACGATTCAGGCTTATGCACAACTCAAAGCCACTGTGATATGTTTTTGTACAGGTAGGAGTGGACGGGCCAGGCCAACCGGCCCGGAACCTCGGAACAAGACTGGCCCGCTACTGTGCGGGCCCGGACCGGCCCGGTGAACCGGTTCGGGCCACCCGGCCCGGTGAGGTAGGCGGTTCGGGCCCGGGCCTGCTAAATAGTGAACCGGCCCGGCCGGTTCGGGCCCGGTCCGGGCCAATTTATGTTTTTTTTTTTTTTGATTTTTTTTTAAGTTTTTGGGTTGGGCTGGGTATGATGGGCCATTTGAGGTGGTTTGGGGTGGTTTGGGGGTGAGGGGGGAGGGTTGGGGTTAATTAGGAAAAGCCAAAAAAAATACATGAACCGAGGCCCGGCCCGGCCCGGACCCGGGGTTACCCGGGCCAGTTCCGGGCCTCCCCTTTCATGAACCGAGGCCCGGCCGGGCCCGAACCAGAACCGGTCCACCCCTATATACAGGTTCATATTTTGTTTGTATTGCTCTGTATCTGAGATTCGTGTCTAGGACTATTGGATTGGTTGTGTTGTTCATGAATGATTTTCTCATGTGTTCTTCCTTAGATGTTGTATAATTTAGCTAATTTTCATAACAGTTAATGCACTTTGAATACAAAAAACATGGATTGAATGTAATATGCAAATTGTTTTATGAAGCACAAGAGGAAGGTGAAGATATTGGAGAAGAAGTACATGTAGCACAATGGGGTACACAAAGTCGACAATATATGATGAATTTGAGGGATGAAATCACAAATAGATTAGTAGTAAATGTTTAAATTTAAAGTGTTGTTCCCGTAAAATGCTTGACTTTTTTCGATGTAATGTGACTTATTTATTTCAATAATTCATATGAAATTATGTTTCAGAACAGAGAAAGTAAACAGACAATATACATTCAGCACTTGTTCCAAACAGAAGGGTTATTTGGTCATTTGATGTGATTCAGACTTCTCATTTAGCACACTTAGTAAACCGTTTGTTATCTCACTATCACTTAATCCAAACAGACAACTTAATTCAGACAGACATCTTAATCCCTTTAGGACTAAAAGTAAACAGCTCCTAAGCAACTGATGTAAGAATAGAGCTAAAAAAACTACTGACCCAATATTTTCATCTTCTTGTGTTGATTTTCAAGAAAAGGCGCATCAAACTCTTTTGCTGCGGTCCAGAAGGTTAAATGTTTGCTTCACATTTACCAGGCTTGGTGAACCCTTTCCTTAATCATCTGATTTCCGATTGCCACTTGGATTGCTACACTGATATTCTTAACATCTCCATTGTCTAGGATGCATGCTTGACGCCTTCTCTTTTTTGCACTCACATTTGCTTCTACGGGGCTTCTGAAAGAGACATTGTTCGCTTCCAAGTTATGCATCATAGGGACTTGAGGAAGAAAATTCATGCGAGAAAACACATTGGTCCTCTTCTTCTGCTGCCTTGGATTTGTGTCCTGCCTCATCCACTTTTCATGCATCTTCTCCAAGTTTTTCATTAATGTGTTCACTGGTTGAGGACCACGAGCCTCAGGTTCCTTTCTGCCACCTTCTTCCTGTTGAAAAAGGTGTAAACTCTGGACATGTGAAACAGCTCTGGTGCCAAATTGCAACCGTGAAAACACACTCGGCCTTCCCTGAACAGTATCACAGTACAACTTCTTCACTTTGTGGAAATGTTCGGAATGTTCAGGGTCACTATGATCATTTCCGTCACTTGAATTTGTAATTTGTGTAGAATCATAGTTTTCAGGGTCACTATGTTCTGAATCAGATAGGGGTATGTAATCCCCCAGTAACAATGAGTCCGTTGAAGTAGTTTTACAGTTCACTGCTGTGTTGAACTCGATGTTTGGAATTCCTGATGAAGAATTCCGATTAATTTGAGCTGTGAATACATGTTCCAAGGAAATAAACACTGTTTGTGTTAGATAAAGGCTTGAGAGATTTAACATATAAACAACCATAAAAACAAAGTAACTGTTGTCACAAATTAGTTGGTCTTTTCAAGAGTACCTGCACAACCGACATCCATCTTATCAGAAGATTTAGTGGAGTCCTTTTTCACATTCTTGACCTTTGGAGATTTTTCAACTCTGACCCCTCTAGAGTGAAACAGCCATACAAGTCTTTCAACCTGAAAATTTAAAAGCAGTAAAGTTTCTGTGGTTTGTGTAAATTTATTTATGAAACAATTCAAATTCACTTTATTGTTTCATATAATGTATATGGAGCAACAAAAAAAGAATACTTCATTTTTCAGTGTAAGTTGGCATAGTGAAAATTAGTTAGCTCAAAATTCAATGGTCAGAGAAGGGTGTACACAGAAGTTCTTTAACAACATTACATGCATTTATCAGAGTTGAAGTGAATGCTTACCTGTTCCTTGGACAAACCAAAGCTAAACTTGGAAGGTTCATAGTAATTGTTACTAATAGCACCACGAAAGGAATCCTCAGGAATGGGACGGCATTTCCAAACAACGCGAAAGCGAACCTGAAGAAAGCAACAGTCAAGCATCATGTAACCAAGTTTTGCATACTTATGACTTCATAATGTAACGTATTTGTGCACTACTGCACTTATGTCTCTTAATCTAGAAATGATGATGTTACAGAAGTTGAAAGTAAGAACATAGATGCACGATTCATATTTTAATAGTACCTGTGCAGGAAAGGACTTCCCAGATGAACGATATGCTTTAGGTATAATATTCATTCCACCATCAGAAGTAGCCTCAAAAATTCCATATAGCTTCCGCCCCTCATATTCAAACAGAAACAAAAGCATTCCAGCTTTGACCTCCTTCACAAAATTAGCAAAAGGATGGGGAAGTCCAAAAATCCCATGAGCAAAACATTCACCCTTCGTCCTTTTGTTGCACATGAAGATCGCGCCAAAATCAGGAAAACTTTCAAATGGCCTCACACCAACAACAGCCATGCCTCTCCTTGCGAACAAGATATATCATATCGAAGTTAATGAGCCAGCATTACAGCAAACCGAAAAATGCATATACTACTACTACTATTACAAAATGCTGACCACGCGGAATTGTGAATTAAGGAGTATAAAGCATTCATGTCGATAATTCATCATCATATTTGGTCCTGCAAATCTAGCTTTAAGAAGGGACAAAATATAGCTACTAATCCCAGCTGTAACTATCTTTCAGAAATATACTGGCTTACAAATCAAACGAACAGATGACAGTTTATCCAAATTAAAGTTACAAAATCTCCAATAACAATCTCCGGTTTATACACAACGACGCGTGGAATAAATGTTTACGTGCTTGTACCCATCCAGAATGGCTCGACTGCTCAAAAACGCTAAGTTCTGCATTCATTGAAGCAAATACATTTCAAAGAGCTTCGATTACCTGAAAAGCGGATTGGATGAGGTAGAGGTCCGAACAACGATGGCTTGAAGAGAGAGAGGGGGAGAGATTTTGCTTCTGCTTCGATTACCTGAAAAGCGGATTGGATGCGGTTATTGCTGCGGCCGGGGTTGAGGGCTTTGCAAGCTTTTATCGTTTTCCTTTTTTGTCCTTCGTCAGCCGTTAGACGGCCGATGATTGGTAATTTGGTATTTGGTACAGTATCCGAATAACACTATAGCAGAATCAGTATAGAGGTTAATACCGTAAAACGTCAAACTTCAAACAACAGCTCTCGTAGCTCAGTTGGTTAGAGCACCCGTTTAGTAAGCGGGAGGTCTTGAGTTCGACTCTCAACGAGAGCAGTTGTCTTTTTGTTTTTTATTTACTTTTCTTTCCATTTTAACGGTCTACTCGTTTATTAAATGAAGACCCAATTCATACACTCCATATTTGTTTTGTTAGAACCCGTATTCACATACTATATCGTTTAAAAACCTCCGTCATTTCTTTTTTATTAGTATATTTGCTTATAAAATGAAATGCAGATCACACTTATTCACTCTTGTTCTTTTTGTGTACGGCCAAATTTTATCCGCTTCAAAATATTACTTCCTGTCTATATCTGTTGAACAAGCGTACCAGTGACTAGTACATAATAATACATTAATACATATACATTAATAAATTAGTAAACTAGACATGTAATACGCGAATTGTATATGATTTATTGCGAAAATATGACAGCTCAAGTATGAAATTAAATGGACAACCGAGGTGGGTAGCCGAAGTGCCAAACAATGGTGGATTGGAAGACGTGAAATTTTCCACTTTACACAGTCTTGACATCTGCTAAGGTTCAAGTGTACAATCACAAACTAATAAAATCAAGTGGACAATCCCAAACCATCAAAGGATTTGGCTGGTTTGGTTCTAATGAAAGCCCTATTTGATGTACACTGCTGCATTTATATACTATGTATATTCAAGATTTCCACGCATAACTCCACCGTCAGTAAAAAACTCAGTTTAAAAGCCATGCTCTTCCTCACCAGTCTAATGTGCATTGCATGGAGTACTACTTGATGTTCCAGTTATGAGATGATCGGGGGCCGGTCAGTATGCCCTCATAGTATTCACTTGCAAGCTTTCCTTTGTTCCATTCCTTGACGAAGTCCATGAATAATTCATGAGCAGTCTCGGATGAAAGGTCCATGAAAAACATATTTTTCTTTTCCTTCAGCCAGCTTGCAAATTCATTGTTCTTTAAGAAATAGTCATCCTCTGACAGTTCTTCAAATTTTAACTTCTGAAAGTGTTCAACAAGAAAAGGGCACACAGAAATAAGAAACAACAATAACTGAAATTGTTAAGGGCTGCATACAGGCATCACTGCAACTAAAGTCTCAAATTTTAAGAAATAGTCATCCTTTGACAGTTCTTCAAATTTTAACTTCTGAAAGTGTTCACAAGGAAAAGGGCACACAGAAATAAGAAACTAAAATAACTGAAATTGTTAAGGGCTGCATACAGGCATCACTGCAACTAAAGTCTCGATGCAGATGAAGCTTTTAATAATAAACTTCACAAAAAGTGATACAGAACAAACATTAAATACCAGGTGAAGTAATTACTTGTCCTACTTTGTAAGCTACACTTCTTTTTGGGTTGTCCCAAATATGATCACTTCCCTTAATTGAACTCCACTAAATTCTACTTTCACACTTTAACCCTGTATATCATTCCAGTTTTTTACTTTTTGTGGACTCATACTTTTTTTTTTACTTTTTGGAGGTTAGAATTGTAAGAAACAACTATATCTTTTATTTTCTTAAAATCCACGCCAACCCAAATGTAAATTACATTGTGGGACGGATGGAGTAGCATAATCACTCCAACATCAGTACTCTTTGATAGGGTAGCAGACCAGGGGCAAGTACAGGTTTCTCTTTAAATAAGCATAAAAAGAGAACTCACAGAAGAATCCTTATGCTTGTGGCTTTTACTCTTATGCTTTTCTCTTGACTTCTCTGAAAGGATACCACAGTATGAATAATACTTCTTTCAAGCTATACAACATTAGTTCATATGAAGTAATAAAATTTCAATATATATGAACAATAGTACGAAAATAAAAATTTCTTCTAATCCAAATTAACTCTGTAGGCATCAAGTCAATTACATAAGGCATTAACATTATCAGCATGCACAGTAAAGCGGAGATTGGATAGGGAGGGGGCACTCTCTTAAAGAACTCCATGTTAATAGATTATGCAGCAGAAACACATATATGTCTAGCACAGGAACTGCAACAAACAATAGGGAAATGCGTATAAGAACTACAGCCTCAGTCTTCATGACAACAGGTATAGTTGCAATAAATTTTAAAATTGTCAAATGCCATTTAATATAATTTAGAATGAGGAACAAATATAAATATCCATTTGGAGATATAATAATAATAATACTACTACAGACAACATTTATGTGTGGATCTATACAGAATAGATCTCATACCAACTTCATTTTTGGCCAAAAAACGAACTCAGTGATCCCATTTTTTACACATTAGTACCAACTATTAGTTTCATCAATTAGATAATAAATTAAATGAGTTTTACAAAGCTTAGATCCAATTTATATAATGCTTTAATTTAAACCGTTAGGTAGGTATTACAGGTGAAAAGTGAGTTTGTAGGGTCTCCCTTTGAACATGTTTAAGATCTAGCAGTTGATAGTTAAAACTTAAAACTTATATATAACACTAATGAGCAAAATAGGGTCATTGATTTCAATTTTGGTAAAAATGAAGGTGGATTGATTGAATTCCCATTAATCCAAACTGACGGAACACTTTTGTTCATTTACATACATACCTGCGGGTGTATGACAAAGGACACTACTCTACATATCCATATATGTACATATGTATGTGTGTGTGAATACACACACATTACATATATATACATAAAATCCTTCTATCCTTACTTAAAGTTCATGCTTTGACTTTTGGAGTCAAAGTTAGTAACCCAAGACCCTTATTACGAAAGAATTAGATTAAATCATAACATGAAAATAACATTATAAGATTTCTGCCCGTATAAATTTTAGAAATGATAAATCAGTATAGACTTCAGAGCTATATACTCTCTCTGTCCGATACCATGGTGCATATTTAGGATTCATCGGTCCACTCAATTCATTTTTTCACTGATAGTACAAATCATTTTTTTATCACAACCAAATTTGTTTTTTGCAACAGAGTTTGGGAAGGGAGGGGTATAATTGTAATTAAAAATGGCCAAAGATGGACTCTGAAGAAAAATAAAAGAGCATAGCAGAGCTGATGAGACTGTGTACACATAATTCAAGCAAGGGTTAATACCATCGGTGTATGAAGGCATTCATGCAATTAATACAGCTAAAGCTGCAAGTTAGTCATCCTTGGCTACCGAAGGGCACTAATACTATAGTCCAAACAAATCCAATCTCCTTTGTTTATGTATCACTTTGATTCAAATTTTGAAATTTCCTATGCATAGCAATAGTTGATTACCCAGGACTCTATATCAGTCTCCCGAATTCATTTCACTTTTCAGTTTCAAATAGTATCACTGCGTACATTATAAAAAATCTACTTGGCCAACTATCAAAATCATCTCTATGCAATTTATGATCTATGTATGATGACAGGTAAAAAATTGTAATTGCAATTTCCAATTGTAGAAAAGAAAAATATAAGACATGCACCATGCTGCATATCTCAGATTATTTCAGATTATAATTCAAATATAAAACACTGTTTTAAGACTTACATGACATCCACCTCACAAAAAAAGAGGTAAACACTATACCTTTACCAGAACGGTGTTTTGAAGACGTATGAGGTTTCTCCTTTCTGGAACTGCCTTTCTTCTTTCCTCTTCTTTCCTCTTCATCGCCTTCTTCTCTTTTATGCCGTTTCCTTTTCACTTCATCTGTTCACATCGCAAAAATAGTACACGAATTTTTCAATTATAAATCGAAACCACCAAACATTACGGTAGGAAAAGACGTGAGAGGGAAGGACCTTCTTGCGAAGAATAAGTTTCCGAGCTTCTTCTGTGCTTCTTCTCTGTGCCCATTTTCTCTGTTTTCGGGAGAGGTAATCAGATAGAAGAATCCGAAATAGGCAAATTTCAGGTTTGGATTGTGGATGTGAAGTTCTAATTGGGCCATACGCTTGTAAATAGATGGGTTGTCAGGTAAACCCATCTATATAGCCCACCGTAAAAATGTGGGCAGAAACCATTTAGATACCCAATACTGTTGAAGCTTCTCAATCTAGTCTGTGTTCAAGCCTGTTTCAACTGGAACTTTGAATTATTATCTATTTGTGTTTAAATTTATTTTTAATACGAATTAGAAAAAAAAATCTAGGAATTACTTTCTCATGTGATATTAAATTTTGACACGTCCATATTTATAATTTTCTAATCTCAGTATTAATCCTATAAACAAATTGATTAGGGAGACTTATTATGTTTTATGCAAATTTTAGGGCCTGTTTACTAACATAGTTATTTTCCAGTTTTCTATTTCTGTTTTCCGTTCTCCAATTTTCTGTTTTCAATTTCCAGTTTTTTTATCTCCAATTTTCTGTTTCCATTTTTAGTTTTCCATTTTCAAATCTGAAAACATGTTAATCAATTTTTTTCACCCGATTCCAGGAGACTAAAAGTATGGTCTCATTCTGAAATCAAACCTAGTACAACCCAAGTACGGTACTAGGTCCCACATATAGCAAAGTCGGGACCAAAACCGGCCGGACCCGATCGATCTCAACGGTTAGTTTGATGAATTCTTTTTTCATTTCCCAATTTAGCCACACATAAACATATTCACATGGCAGCATACGTCAACTCCACATAATATGTCATGTCAGCGTCATGTAATGTTACACGTCAATGCCATGTCATCATACGAACTTTTTAAACAGAAATAGTCACGCATATTATAATTTTTTTCCCACATGAATGTGTGTGTGAAGAGTAAAATATTACCCACACATAATTACATGTGTGGGTAAATGTTATTTCATACACATGTAATTATGTGTGGGTAATAAGTTTTACCTACGGTCTCATACTCACACATCGTTACACTTAATATATGTGTGGGTAAATGTTATTTCATACACATAAGCATACTTTTATCAACACATATATGTGCGGGTAAAAGTCTTATTTTCTTGTCTAGCTGAATCACCGACTACTCTTGAATCTGAAATAGAGAATGACAGTTCTAGTTGGAAGCGATCAAGTGAGTTTTTAACACAAAAGCCTTCTAAAGCACCTAAAATGAGGAGTACTTTATGGCAACATTGTGCCAAAGGTTTAAGGAAGTTGGGGGATGGGAGCACTCAAAGTATTGGAATATGAAATCACCGTAAGATTGAGATTCCAGCTGTTCAGCGAAGTACAAATAGTTTAAAAAATAACTTAGTGAAGAGATGCAAAACAAGTCCTCTATATGAAGGGAGGTGACAAAAGAAGGCATGCCAATGGGTCGCGACGGGACAGGTACTGCAAGACTCGGACCCGCCCCGTGACCCGTACGGGTCCAAACTTGTTGACCCATGACCTGCCCCATGCGGGGCGGGTCCGCCCCGACCCGTCGTAACCTAATTAGCTAGTATCCCTTTTTATTTTTGTAAAGTTTTACCACTTGAATCTACATAAAGTTTATCTCTGAATAATTATTAACAAAATAATATATTAAATAAAAGTCACAATACGCTAAAAATTCAAAAATTAAGAAAAAGTACTTAGACTTGAATAGTTACTCTATTTATATTAATAATTGAATATATAAATTAAAATTTTATATATAAAAAGACATTGATAATTCGTCATCCATCCCATTAAAATATAAATATTAAAATATTATTACACCAAAGAATTGATGATTTATTGTACAAACACATACATTTTTATGTAGAAGTATATTTGTAGTATATTTTTTTAAAAAAAGTATGTATACTTATATATTGAGTGGGGCGGGCGCCACGAGTCAATAACAAGACCCAAACCTGCGCCCATTGTATGGGCGGGGCGGACCTGCCCCATTTGCAAGATGGTGCGGGGCGGACCCGCCCCAAATGTCTCGGACCAGGGCGGGTCATTGCAGGTCGGGTGTTTTTACATGCCTAGACAAAAGCCAGTTTGTGCTCACGAATGAGATGACGAGTGATGGAGTATATGGCCCGGGAACCCCCGGTCCACAGACTCCTACTATTCCAGCAAAGGCCCAACAGGCCCAAAAGGCCCAACAGGCCCAAATCACAGCGCCCAGAGTACCAAGCAGCCCGCACTACATGCCAGGGGTGCCTTCGGCCCCCTGGCCGAAGGCTCTAAATTCTCACAGAACGGGTACCTCAAGCAAATTAAGAGACTGGGAGAAAACGGCAAAAACAGTAGCCCTCGGCACTGTGAGCCCTCGGCACCAGGGTGCCATCGGGTGGAAGAGCCCTCGGCTACTGCTCTATAGCCGAAGGCATCTCACTCGACAAGATATCCGCCTCACATGCGTACAGATCACCGTACCCCGCACAGACGTCCCATCCAACAGCCGCATTAAATGCGGCCACATGCGGCTGCCAGCGCCAACCAGTTGAGGTGACCCCTCGGCCAATGAGCGCTTGACACGTGTCCCTGCCCGGCATTTATTGCTACTATAAATAGCACCCCATTTCCTCATTTGTAACCACGCTGAAAACGGCATTCATACTGAATACACTCTCTCTCTACTTTTACTTACTTGCTCTGACTTCTCTCTAAGTTATTCCCCGTAATAACCCTTCGGATATATACCCCCGGGTAGACTATCCATCAACGAGACATGTAAATGCATAGATTCCGCATACTTTTAATCAAAAGCGGTGTGAGTTGAAACTTACTAAGTTGTAGTTATTTATGAAATCTCGTTTTGGAGGGTGGAAGGAAAGGGATTTGTTAATTTTGTGCATGAACTGCACAAAACTAAAAGGTTAATGATCAAAGGGTAAGTATCACAACCGATACTTGGACATCAATTCAGAACATTAATTACATGGTTGTCACCACTCACTTTTTTAGATAGTGAGTGGAAGTTGCACAAAAGAATAATCAATTTAACAAAAATCACTAGTCATGTTGGGAAGAAATTGACAAGGCGGTTTAGATTTGTATAAGAGAGTGGGGGATAGACAAAATGTTTTCTTTAGTAGTCGATAATGTTTCTTCGAATGACACAAAAATTGATTACTTGAAAAAAGATTCAAACGTGAGAACACATTGCTATTTGAAGGCAAGTTCTTGCACTTGAGATGTGCATGTCACATCCTTAACTTAATTGTTAAGGATTGGTTGAAGGAACTTAAGTCTTCGATTAAAGCTATAGAGAACACAATTATGTTTCTTTGTTCTTCACCGGCTAGGTTGAGTAAGTTTAGGGAGTTTGTCGTGTTAGTCAAGTTTTCTAATATGTCAAGAGTGCCAATGGATGTCAAAAAAAGGTGGAATCCAACTTCAAAATGCTTGATGTTGCTTTGAAATATAGAAGGGTGTTTGAAAGGATGATCTAAGAGTGGTGTACGTCCTTTTGTGAGTTACTTTCATGAGAAGAATAAAAAGGGTGAAGAAAGGGTAGAACCACCAAGTGCTTTAGATTCGGAGAATGCACGAGCTTTTGTGCACTTTTTGAAAACGTTTTATGATGCTACATTAGAGTTAAGTGCCTCAAAAACTTCTACCTCTATATTGATGTATCAATCAATGATCGTTCTTTAAATTGAGATTGAAAAAAGGTGAGTGACAACTCAGACCCAACTCTATGCAAGGTGGCTAGCACACTGAAGTTAAAATTTGACAAATATTGGGGGAGTTGGAATGACATGCACCTGTTGGTTTTCATTAGCAATGTTTTAGACACTTGAAACAAATTCCAAATGATTAAAGTGAGCATTAAACAGATTCAAAGTGCTCCCACAAATGCCCAAGACTTCATTGAGAAAGTTAATAAAGATTAGATAGCTTTGTGGATGAGTGCAAAGAAATGAACGAAAGGCGACTAAGGACGGCGACCATCGATCCTATTTATTTGGCTAAGCAATACAGTCTGATGCGAGCTCTAATGCTTCCACTGCGAACCGGTGCCATGGAAACTGATTGGGAAGGTGCACGAAAGTGATGGGGCATCTCGATGGGCCAGAGTTGTTGAGCAGCAGAGCAAGACCGGTGGTCTGGTACGGCGGGGCAGTTACAAAGAGGGGTTGGGGCTTTGGAGGGGATGGGGATGGAGCGGGCTAGGGTTAGTGGGCCATACTGGAGTAGCGGTGGTCATTGTGATCGTCCAGCAATGGTCACTCGCCGATTAATGTGGGCGGTGGTCACTGGAGTCGTGGTAATTTGGACCGTAGTCAACGAAGCGGTGGTAACTAAGGCCATTGATAATTGCGTGACAGGGTCATTGTAACTTTAGTCACTCTGACAATGGGTTGAATGAGAATTGATGTAATTGCCGTATTAATAATTTCTAGTCTCTTTTATTGGAAACATAAAAAAGGATTTCCTTTTCCATTAGTTAATTTTTGGTAAATTCTTGTGGTAATCACATACTATATGGAATATAAAAAGAAAGAATTCGTATTATATACACATGTTATTCGTTAGTCACGACAACTATTACTATTGTTATTGTTATGGTTATTGTTATTATTACGTCATTAATTACAATAATTATTTTCCCTTCACATCATCACATGCAATTCTGCTTTAGCATACGATAAGACATTTCATGTGAACTTTCTAGCAATTATTAACACGAATTATAGAAGTGTTGCGAGAAGTAATACTTATATTCTTCTATGATTATGAATAATTTCAACCAAAATTAATAGTTAGATGGAGAAAATACTTGTTGAGGGTGATACCCTGAAATGTCATTTTCTCAGCAAGCCATTAATATTGGGTGTTGGCAGTTTAGCCACCGGAATTAATAGATAGTACGTAGTCAATCTATTATTATCTATATATAGTTTAATTAGTTAAGTCAACATTGTAGATCTTCTATACAACATTTTTAATTTTTTGATATCACCACATATAATAATTATAATCCATTTCAAGTGCAATTCACGGTTGGATGTATTGGAGTCTACTTATAATTTTA